GTCTCAACTTGTTGCTGTTGTTCATTGTGTGGATGCTTTACAGCATCCACACAAATTATTCAGCTTTATTTTGAAAACCTTGTGTCATTCAAATGAATGGGAAAATTCTACTTCAGCATAATTTCAGCTATCAAAATGTTCAGCTCTTCAAGGACATTCATACTACTATTCAGAAGTTTTCTAAACTTCATACATTTTAAATATTTAGCTTTATTTTGAAAATCTTGCCCCCATTCAAATGAATGGGAAAATTCAACTTCAGCATAATTTCAGCTATCAAAATGTTCAGCCCTTCAAGGACATTCATACTACTATTCAGAAGTTTTCTAAACTTCATATATTTTAAATATTCAGCTTTATTTTGAAAATCTTGCCCCATTCAAATGAATGGGAAACTTCTACTTCAGCATAATTTCAGCTATTTCAGCTATCAAAATGTTCAGTTCTTCAAGGACATTCATATTACTATTCAGAAGTTTTCTAAACTTCATACATTTTAAATATATAGCTTTATTTTGAAAATGTTGCCCCATTCAAAATGAATGAGGAAATTCTACTTCAGCATACTTTCAGGTAGATATACCTTTCAGGTGTCAAAATGTTCAGCATTTTATTAATAAGTTCAGCATACCTTCAGCTAGAAAAGCCATTCAGGTATCAAAATGTTCAGCTCTTCAAGGCCATTCCTACTTTATTGCATCACATCCTTCATTTCTTCTCAACTATTTCAACATAGAACTTCAGCCATTTCTTCTCATCTTTCAGCTGTTTCAGCAATTGATTTCAGGCATTTTCAGGACGATCTTTCAGCTTATGAGCATCCACACACATTTACGACAGGAAATGCATTTCTCTAGTTGGTTCATGGATTGTTTGGGATTTGATTCGCCATGCATTTTCCTGTTCAACTACACTACATGCTTGTATGGTTTCAAGCTGACAGTAAAATATAAAATAAACATGAACTCATGTTGAAGACTGTTTCTTATTTGGCATGTCTGATTGTAACCTATATACTCTTCACTTATATTGTGTGTTATGAAACATTTAAATGGTGCTGCTACATTCATGAGATGTGCTCTACAAATTCAGACAGATATCATTTTCACATGGGACTGGTGCAAATACAGATTACATTATGGGCTTTGGCAAAGTATGTCTTGGGGTTCATTGGTAAAGAGGTTCATGGGTATGTGGGTAAAGAGGGTGTGCTTGTGTAACTGTTATCTATATATATATATAT